CATAACAGATATCAAGTTACTGTCTAGCTCTTCCCTTGATTAACAATATGTTAGAAATGAATCTAAATTTTGTAACGCCGCTATTGATAACAACTTTCCATTATTGCTAACGCATTGATGATACCAAATTTCACTGTCAGGGCTTTTCATTCCTTATTAGCTACTAAGAAAGATGGCAACTCAATTGAGCAAGAAACGAAAGGTTAGTCTCATCATCATTCATCAATCACTATCACAAGCTAATGTAAACCTTTTCTTCTCCTTCTTCTTATAGCTTGTAATCTAATTTCTTTTTGGGCATCAGTTTGTAGCAGATGGTGTGTTCTTTGCTGAGTTGAATGAGGTCCTCACAAGGGAACTTGCAGAGGATGGTTACTCAGGTGTAGAAGTTAGGGTTACACCAATGCGCACGGAGATCATCATCAGGGCCACCCGTACCCAAAATGTTCTTGGTAAAACCCTAAAAGCATGTTTATCATTAATGTAATCATACATGACAATTTTAGAAAAATAAATTGTTACTTCACATAATAATAATAAAGTGTGATTATATGGTTATTGGATCAGGTGAGAAGGGAAGGAGAATAAGGGAGCTGACATCTCTTGTTCAGAAAAGATTCAAATTTCCTGAAAACAGTGTGGAGCTTTATGCAGAAAGAGTCAACAACAGAGGACTCTGTGCCATTGCTCAGGCTGAATCTTTGCGTTACAAGCTTCTTGGAGGCCTTGCTGTTCGCAGGTTTCTTTTATTCTTTAACATATTTTTGGTCATTCTAATTCAACCAATCTTTGTGTAATTGATGATAAAACTGTTTATTATAGGGCTTGCTATGGTGTTCTAAGATTTGTTATGGAGAATGGAGCAAAAGGGTGTGAAGTGATTGTAAGTGGAAAGCTAAGGGCTCAACGTGCCAAATCCATGAAGTTCAAGGACGGGTACATGGTTTCATCCGGTCAACCGGTCAAGGAGTATATCGACTCTGCTGTCAGACACGTGCTTCTTAGACAGGTAAGCAAATGTTGTTTATACTTGTTTTCAAAGTTATTAAAATGAGATGCAGATGAAAACTTTCTATAAATAGTAACTAGTGGTATGTGTACAGGGTGTTCTTGGGATTAAGGTAAAGATCATGCTTGATTGGGATCCTACTGGGAAGCTTGGGCCTAAAACTCCATTACCTGATAATGTTATAATTCATATGCCTAAAGATGATGTAATTGTTCATCCCCCAAAAGATGTTGAGGAATACAGGCCACCACTTGTTGCTGATGAGCCTTTGCCCATGCCCATTCCTGTACCTGTCTAAAATATGATTAGAATTTTTAGACTTCTAAAGTTATGGATGATAAAGTTTTGATTTGGTGCCTTTTTGATGAGTTTTTCCTTGTTTCATTGGTGTAAGTTTTACTTGTTTTTACAGCTAGTGCTATCAATTTTTGTTATTTTGGAATATGATAATATAATGTTAAAAACCTTAAAATATAATAGGCGTTTTATTTCTTATAGTTTAATCATCGTCTAATTCTTTAATATTCAACTTATTTGAAACTAAGGAAATCTTCATAAAAAATCGCTTACCCAGGATCATCAATAATGAAACGATGGTAATCTACATCAAAAGTCTTAAGTAATAAGAAAAACAGGATAGAAGATCATAAAGAGGAAATGAGAACAAAATTGAAAGTTCAATCGTAATTTAAGTCATAAGTCATTTTTTATATTTTGTTAAAACTTTTAAAATTGTTATAGTGATACTGAGGCGATCATATCTAAGAAAGACTTTAAATAATAGAGGTTTTTTTTTACAACACGTACATACTAAAACCAACTCCAACCTCTATCTTATATCATTACTGTGTAAAACATACATTAAAACTTTTTTCAACTTCAATCACATACTAAAACATTTCCACAAAATCATATTTTAATATTGTAATAATAAAATCATGCTAATTATTTTTATATTATTAAAATATAAATAAAGATTATAAATAATAAACTATTACAATAATGATTTACCAATATAAAAATACGCTCTTATAACCTTTATTTTTATGTTTTGAAGGTCGACGGTCTGTCATCCACCGATCACCACCAAATCCAATATAATATTAATAAATAAAGATTTACTATTCTCTATTTGAATATAAAATTCGTTCCTTAACCTTTATTTTTATGCTTTGAAGGTCGATTGTCTTATCATCCACCGAGTATCATCAAATCCAATATAATATTAATTAATAAAGATTTACCATTCTTTATTGAATACAAAATACGTTCTTTAACCTTTATTTTTATGCTTTAGAGGTCGATGGTCTATCTCTATCATCCACCGACTACCACCAAATCTAATCTAATCTTAACATTAATATTAATTATGAATTATGAATTATTAATAATAAATAAAGTATAGAGAATGCGATCTGCCACCTATCATGGATCGTGACTCATGAAAGAAAAAAAAAAAAGGCATCTTGCTGAACGTGGCACTGGCTTTTGTCAGCACCACAATTAAATTTCCTAACTTTTTCGCTTTAAATACGTCACAGAATGGAAGAACGATGGACAGAAAAAAAAAAAAAAAAAAAACAAAGATGGAAAGCTCAGTTGGGGAAAAATACTCAAATCCATCACATATTTGTGCCCTAAATTTTACTACCTTCAATTCGAAGCTTAGTGGTAGGGACAACTATGGCCTGTGGAAAATACAGATGCTAGTATGTCTCCTAGATAGTCACCATATCAATGGAAAACCAGTAACCCCTCAAACCAGTTTTACATGCAAAAGATCAGATGCTCTTGTCAAAGTTTGGATATTTGGTTCTTTATATGAACATGCAGGTAAATTTTCTTCTTTTTTATTTCATAAACTGCCAAAATTACCTACTTTTATTCACACAAAGAACATTCAAAACAACAAAGTATATTGTAAATGCAACTCATAAAGATTATGTATTTATGTCTTACCAACTTTTAATTTCATGTTTGTAATTGTACCGATGTACGAATTTATGTGATTATTATGCTTTACTCGATGAACCAAAAATAGCAGAGAAAAGGAGGTTTATTTCTTTTGTTTGAGATGTTTATTTGGATCTATGTTGCAGTGTGGCTATTAAAGGATCCGATTATTGAAGCCACTAGTCAAAATGCAAATCATGGGTCTTTCTTTCCAAATGCAATTTGGAGTGCCAACAAAGATGGTCACAACATTATTCAATATAATGTTTACAACCTACTATATCAAATTGTTGGTCAAAAGAGTACTTGTAGAACAATCAAAGACTCTTTTGAAAATAACCTATTGCATTTTTCTCAACAACTGTCAATTAACAACGAATTAAATCTTATATCAGGGTAGCTTTACAAATACAACGTGAACTACAATGGTTTAAGGTATGAATCTTTATGAATCCAAGTTTGAGTTTTATTCAACCTACATAATGTTTTTATACGGCTAATATATCCTAATCTTGTAGGAAGTTGAAAATTTTGCATGTTCTCTGGAGATTACATACGAAATACCTCAAATGGTATTTACAAGAGAACACAAGGATTTGATGATTGAAGGAGAAAAATGGATGAAGACCTCAAATGATATTTACAAGAGAACACAATGACTTGGTGATTGAAGGAGAAAAATGGATGAAAACCACCACACATGCATACATAATTACTACTACACTAGTCAACAACATTGTATTTGCAATATCTAGTACCAATTACTACTACACTAGTCAACAACATTGTATTTATAGGATCATTTCCAATTACTACACTAGTCAACAACATTGTATTTATAGGATCATTCCAATTACTACTATACTAGTCAACAATATTGTATTTGCATATCTACTACCAATTACTATTACACTAGTCAACAATATTGTATTTGCAATATCTATTATGATAATGAGAAGATATAATTAATACACATAGATGTCATTTTTTACAATATTGTATTTGCATATCTAGTACCAATTACTATTACACTAGTCAACAACATTGTATTTGCAATATCTATTATTATAATGAGAGGATATACTTAATACACATGGATGTCAGACTGTCAGTTTTTACTAGCAACATTGCTATTTAAGCTTTTTGCCTTTTGCAATATTAGATATCATATCATTAGGTCCAGGGTTTGAATTCAGACCCTAACACATGATTGACCTATCACATATGTTAACTTCAATGTTGATGTATTTGTCACTTCTCATGGCACGTTTTGCTGAAAAAGAATTTCCCTTTTAAGTTTCACACAAAGTTGGTAATTGGTTTGATCTCCTCATCAAGAATGCAACAATTAGAAGACAAATAGACGATACTAGTTTTTACCCTCACTTTTACTCACTTCCTGCAAACATTTAGAATCATAAACAAATTAACATACTTCTTAAGATGTAAGGTCTTGTCAAATTCAAAGAGAATTTGTAATAGTTTTTAAGTTCATAAATAAATGAGTCTGCTTCCAAAGTAACACTCTTATACAGTTATACTGGGAAGGAGGAAAATGGTTAAGTTTATGTAGGGGTAACTACTTGTGTATTAAGCACACGATCAATCTCCCTTTGTTATAGTTTTATATCCTAAAAAGAACATACTAATGGTTAAAATATGTCATTATAACCTTTTTCAGCACGCCATGTATCCTTAATGTCCAAATTTCAGATTGAAAAATACATTTTTTACCAATTTATTTTTGGTACTCGGTGAGAAAAGGTTCCAGGTCATCTAACGTGTTTAATGTAAACAATACTGACCAGCTATGTACAACAAAACTTTATACCTATTTTACTCCAATGTTAAAATAGTTATATAGATATAGTTAGTACAAAGTAGTAAGATGAACTAAACATATGCATTAAACATGGCACAAAAGTCAGTACAAAATCAAACAAAAATGGGCCTACATTAGAATACAGCAATCCATAATAAGAAAATTCAACAATAAGTATTAGTAGAAATAAACTTACATCAATGCAAAAAGGGTCATTCATGAAAGCAAAACTCAAAAAGACAAAAACAAAATGATCTTTCTATAACTTAAAAGTCTTGGAATCAAATAGAATCCTAATCATGTTAAAGACTTGGTTTTAGACAGGTAGAGGGATGGGCATGGGCAAAGGCTCATCAGCAACAAGTGGTGGTCTGTATTCCTCAACATCTTTTGGGGGATGAACAATTACATCATCTTTAGGCATATGAATTATAACATTATCAGGTAATGGAGTTTTAGGCCCAAGCTTCCCAGTAGGATCCCAATCAAGCATGATCTTTACCTTAATCCCAAGAACACCCTGTACACATACCACTAGTTACTATTTATAGAAAGTTTTCATCTGCATCTCATTTTAATAACTTTGAAAACAAGTATAAACAACATTTGCTTACCTGTCTAAGAAGCACGTGTCTGACAGCAGAGTCGATATACTCCTTGACCGGTTGACCGGATGAAACCATGTACCCGTCCTTGAACTTCATGGATTTGGCACGTTGAGCCCTTAGCTTTCCACTTACAATCACTTCACACCCTTTTGCTCCATTCTCCATAACAAATCTTAGAACACCATAGCAAGCCCTATAATAAACAGTTTATCATCAATTACACAAAGATTGGTTGAATTAGAATGACCAAAAATATGTTAAAGAATAAAAGGAAACCTGCGAACAGCAAGGCCTCCAAGAAGCTTGTAACGCAAAGATTCAGCCTGAGCAATGGCACAGAGTCCTCTGTTGTTGACTCTTTCTGCATAAAGCTCCACACTGTTTTCAGGAAATTTGAATCTTTTCTGAACAAGAGATGTCAGCTCCCTTATTCTCCTTCCCTTCTCACCTGATCCAATAACCATATAATCACACTTTATTATTATTATGTGAAGTAACAATTTATTTTTCTAAAATTGTCATGTATGATTACATTAATGATAAACATGCTTTTAGGGTTTTACCAAGAACATTTTGGGTACGGGTGGCCCTGATGATGATCTCCGTGCGCATTGGTGTAACCCTAACTTCTACACCTGAGTAACCATCCTCTGCAAGTTCCCTTGTGAGGACCTCATTCAACTCAGCAAAGAACACACCATCTGCTACAAACTGATGCCCAAAAAGAAATTAGATTACAAGCTATAAGAAGAAGGAGAAGAAAAGGTTCACATTAGCTTGTGATAGTGATTGATGAATGATGATGAGGCTAACCTTTCGTTTCTTGCTCAATTGAGTTGCCATGTTTGCAAGCTGTGTATTGGGTGATGAAGAACACTAACTCTGAAATTTGAGACAACGGGGACTTTAGAATCAAACTTCACGTTCGTTTTATAGTCAAACAAGAAAATAGGTATTCAGTAACTTGTAATTGGTGCTATCACACCTTTGTATATCTATCTCATTAAAGTCTGTGACAAGTTATAAGCAAAGCTACCCCAGACTACGATCACATTTCCAAGTAGTAATTTTCCAATTGAGTAAAAGTAATATTTGTCTATCAAGTTTAAAATTCAATCGAACATCCACTATATATTCCAGATCGAAATGAATATGAAATAACTTTTATATGAATGTATTGCATGCGTGTTCAATGACCAAACAATAGATCCAGCATGTTGCCAATTGGGAAATTTTATCAAACGGTTGGTGCTCATTAAAATAACAAGATATTGTCGAAACATCACTGCATCACTAGCAACAGATTACAGCTATGCATCATAGGCAGATAGTTTATCATCATGAAAGAGAGGTCAGAGAAAAGGTAAAAAAGCAGACCGGTATTTACCCTAGCATCGTATAGATATAACATATAAAACACAAAAACCGAGTCGTTTCACCATCACTAGTACCAGAAAATCATCAGAAATAAAACTATAAAAAGATAACATATAATCCTAAATATTTACCAACTTGGATGAATTTACAGAAAAAGTTGCAGGAAAATAATGTAAATCGCACCTCAAAACTCAGGGTATGAAAGCCGAAGATGTTGAAGGCAGATTCGGCGGGGGAGAGAAAAAGGGAGGTAAGAGAACAGGTAGGGTTTAGATGTATTCACCCGGATACGCTTGAAGCCCGAAGTGATGTGAAATGGACCAAACCGAGTTAAGGCCTTAACTTTTGGATCGACATTCGAATCGGGTTTCCGGCCTAAACATTGTTTACCCGAATTCCATAGAGCAAATCGTTTTCACCAAAGAAAATTGAAAAAAATGACATAATAATCCTTAAGTTTTTATAAAAATATCGGTTTTATCCCTGCACGTGTTTTAGGTCCAATAAAGCCCGAAGGTTTGTTTAATTTGTTTATTTTTACATTTGTAGCCGGTTTTCAGGTAACATAACGGTAACCTAATACCAGTAAAACCCTTGAACTTTCAAAAATATTCGGATTTACCCTTAAGTTTTTCAAAAATATTTGGATTTACTCTTACCTTGATTATTATTATTATTATTATTATTATTATTATTATTATTATTATTATTATTATTATTATTATTACATTTAAATGTATGAAAATATTTTATACATACATTTTTAAATGTATACAAATATTTTTATTAATATAAATATATTTTTAAATATATATATATATATATATATATATATATATGTGTGTGTGTGTATATATATATATATATATATATATATACACTTGTATTTAGTATTCATATACATTTGAATTCCCATGTATTCCATTAAAACCGTATTTATATATTAAAAAAGTATTTATTTGTATATAGCAGGTATAAATATATATTTATTTCATATAAAAATATATTATATACATATAAATACAAAATACATATTTATATGGATTATATTGTATAAAAGATATATTAATATGTATTTGTACATATTACTAACTATAAATATGTATTTATTTCATAACTATTTGCATAAGCTAATTTTTATACAGATGAAACACATATTTATATCTATTAAATACAAATGAAAATGTATTTATATATTTCCAAACATATTTATATGTATTAAATACAAATAAAAAGCGTATTTATACATTTAAAGACATATTTATACATTTAAAAATATTTTTATTTGTATTTAATAGATATAAATATGTATTTCCACTATATAAAAATTATAGTATGCATATAATTATGATATAAATACATATTTATACTTGGTAATATGTACAAATACATCTAATTATATCTTTTATATAATATAAACCATATAAATATGCATTTTTATATTTATATGCAGGGCCGGGCCAACACGATTGGAGGCCCGGGGCAAAATAAAAAATGGGGCCTTTTATTTATTCGTATATTACACTATTTTATACATACATAAAAATATATTTAAATTCGTACACAATAGAATGGGGGAAACTAAAAATACAATGCTATTAGAAGTATTAAAATACTAAAGTCTCATCCCCTTTGTTTCTTCATTAACTTGTTCAGTTTTGTTCCTGTACATAAGTTGTTGACCTCCAACTGAAGTAGATTTATCATCGACAAAAAGTTGTTAGGTGAATAGCTTAAATCCAGAATACTTGTTGTTGGTAATAACCTATAAGTAGTTGAAAAAACTATATACAACAACAGAAAATTCTATACATATCAAAAACATAGAAATAAAAAAAAAAAGTACCATTCATAAATAAAAAATAAGAATATTAACATTATAAATCGAAATTACGCAATAAAGTTCAAGAATTGTCTCTAACTCAAAAATATTAACATTTGATTATGTCTCTAACTTGAACAACCTCATACAAATCGAATTTCAAAAAAGAATAAGAAATTTCAAGAGCGATAGAACATACAGAGATTCACAGTCATATTATCATAAATCAATTTCACCTCTAACAGTCGATTCTGAAAACTGAACCTTCAAATTTCTAGAAATTGAGAAAGAAATCCAATTGAGGCAATGATTGGAACTCTCATTGGTGCTATATTAGAAAAAGGAAATCGACAACAAGAATGGAAACAATAGAGTTTCCCGTTTTTTGAAATCATGAGAAGAACGAGACACAATCAGTCTCTCAATTCTAAAATAACATTTGATTCACTAATGGTTGTTGTGGACGAATTCGGAAAATCAAAAAAAAAATGAAAGAAATCGATTAACTTGAAATCTTGAATAAGAAATAGAAGAATGATCGTTAACTCTTACTTTTGGAGAAGACATCGTTTGGATTTTCCATGGTAATGTTTGGATTTTCTATAGAAATCTGATTGTTGAAGAGTTACGACGCTTTGGAATTAGGACGCATGCCAGGTAAGTCTCATTCTCTCCCACGCTCCATCTTTTGGATTAGTTCCTGATCAGAGTATTAGGGTTTGAAGTAGTCCAATTGGCTAAAATGTAATGGGTTGTTAATATATAACCAAAATAACAAGTTAAAAATTGGGGCCCTGTAGCATTTGGGGGCCCGGGGCAGTCGCCCAGCTTGCCCATGCCCACGGACCGGCCCTGTTTATATGTATATAATATATTTTGATATGAAATAAATATATATTTATACCTACTAAATACTAATAAATACATTTTTAACATATAAATATGTTACTACAGGAATACATGGGGCTTCATATGTATATAAATACTAAATACAAGTATATAAATTTTTTAAAATATATTTATATTAGTAAAAATACTTTTATATATAAATATGCATTTTTATATTTATATTAGTAAAAATACTTTTATATATAAATATGCATTTTTATATTTATATGTATATAATATATTTTTATATGAAATAAATATATATTTATACCTACTAAATACAAATAAATACATTTTTTACATATAAATACGTTATTACGGGAATACATGAGATTTCAAATGTATATAAATACTAAATACAAGTATATATATTTTTAAAAATATATTTATATTAGTAAAAATATTTTTATACATTTAAAAATGTATTAAATAATAATAATAATAATAATAATAATAATAATAATAATAATAATAATAATAATAATCAAAATAATCAAAATAAAAATCAATATAAAGGTAAATTCGAACATTTTTGAAAAACTTAATGGTAAATTCGAATATTTTTAAAAATTCAAGGGTTTTATTGGCTTTAGGTAACCTAGGTAACTGGTAGGTTACCTGGAAACCGGCTATAAGGGTAAAAATTAGCAAATTAAACAAAACTTCGGGTTTTACTGGACCTAAAACACATCCAAAGGTAAAACCGAGATTTTTGTGAAAACGTAAGGGCTTTTATATCATTTTCCCAATAAAATTATAAGTATAACCATTTTTTCTAGTTATTTTTTAAAAAATAGCTAAAAAACTCAAAATTACAAAAATAGCCACTAAAATCACAAATAGATTAGGGTCTTGCGATTTGCCTTCTCATCTGCGGATGTATAGGCGCTTAAAGCATGAACGTGTATTGACAGTTGTACCTTTGCAGACCTGTCCATCTGCAATTTTCGCTTTACTCAGAATATGAATTTCTATTTTTTTTTAGAACCCTCAACATTTTTTTTCTTTAGGAAAACTCTCTCTAAGTTTTTCAGAGGAAGCTATGGACAAGTATTTAATATCTCCCAATAAACATGGTATGACGTTTACTCTTTTTGTGTTATAATCATCATTTATCATGTTTATGTTATGTTTGCTTACGACTTATCCGGAAAAAGTACGAAAAAACCGTAAATCGAAGTGTTGCCCTTCCAATTTTCATAGATGTATAAGTTATATTCGATACTTAGAGGATTTCATAAATAACATTGTGGTTTTGATGCGTGAGTAGTCTTGATATTGTTTGTTTGTTGTAGATATGTGATTGTACAAGTATGTGATGCGTAAATTATGCATTATGAGGTTGTAAATTTGGTTGTCATACATTATATTTGTAGTAAACAAATTTATGATACATCTTCTAGTTCTACATTTGTCATTTTTGAGGTTGTACAGTCGGTTTTCATACTTTATATTTGTAGCCAAATCATTTTTTATACAAGTGCAAATATTAGGTCAATATGCTAGACAATTCTAATATAAATATGATTTATGTTATAAAAGTGATTTCTATGCATAGGTTGTACATTTGCATTTCATGGTATGTTATTGCAAGTGAATTGTCATATATATATATATATATATATATATATATATATATATATATATATATATATATATATATATATATATATATATATATGTTTTTTTGATAGTTTTGTAAATTTTTAGTATATATAGAATTTCATTAATGCGTTACTGAAAATAAAAATTATATCATTTTAACATTTTTTTATATTTCAACATAAGTGTGACGATGTGAAAGTTATGGTGAACCTAAAAGGATCGCGATGTAATATATAAGACGTCTTTGAACATTTGACGGCTATCCGATATGAATCATTTAGCATAACCGTTTTTGGTTTTTTGTTGGACGTCCCTTCATTACAATAGGACGGCTTGATATTCGACAAAATGTTCATTTATTAGATACAGCTAGATGTAGTATTATCTCCATATGGCATAAATCGGTTGTATTTTAAAATGGGAGATACAAAACTGGTTGATGGCCCTGAAGAGTTTTGTTTGATCACTGGATTTATTTTTGGCGTGTATCGAAAAAAAATAGGAAAAACAATATCCGAAAAAAAAAAAAACATACTTTTAGTAAAAAAAAAAAAAAAAAGGTGGTTATTGCGGGAACACCTCTTTCCGAACAAAACAAATAGTTTGATGTCAATATCTTATTTGAAAAGTATCATATTAAACAATGATGATGTTGTGAGAGCATGGTTGATATACATTTTGTGTCAATGGTTTTTGGGAAAAGAAATTAATGATCGTGTACACAAATACTTTTTTTTTTTTTTTTTTTTTGAGAACTTGGAAGACTGGAACAGTTATAAATTGAGGAATTATTATTGTTAATCTTTTTGTATAGTAAATTTTGCTTTAATTAAAAGTTTTATACTATAGGTTTCCATGCGACAGTTACTTGTGGGAGTTCACATTCGATGATCGTCAGGAGACTTGGAATAAAATAAATAACTATTTATCACTACCCGAGCCTCGACAACCTTTCAAATACTAATTTACAACACCATTCAGGGT